CTGGTCTCCTCTGTCCCCAGACGTCTGTTGAGTGTTGTAAGAAGAAGTGGGGATGCCCCACAGTGGTAAAAATGGACTTGTCCCAACTTTTTTGGGATTTGTTGATGCCATGAAATTTGGAAACAACAGATTTTTCCCTTAAAATGATGCATTCTCTCAGTTTAAACTTTTGATCTGTGATTTCTAAGGGGTTCTCACTGCCTGAGTGTTCATACATGGTCTTACTCAATCTTCTCAGTCCCTCCAGTGCTCTGGTCACCGATCCGTCCGGGGCAGTGTTGTTAGGGATGAAAGTACAACATTTTTCTCCAATCATAGCACATGCTCCCCCCTTTTTGGCTTATACCATGTCCAATGCCATGAAGTTTTGAATGGCCATCAGAGAAGTAGGTCCTAATTTCTCAGTCAGACCCTCTACAGCATCTCTAGTTAAGTTTTCCAATTAGTTGCCCCCTTTGGAGGGAGACACAGGATAGTCCATCCCATAGCTTATGTGCGTATGTGGGTGAGTAGTCTGGGGTCCAAAATGGGCCCGTATAGGCGATCACTGAGCTCCAGGCTGGGCACCAGGCCGGGCACTAGGCCTCCAGCGCATGTGATTTATCCATACATCATTTTTGGTTAAATGTCGTCATACACAAATAAAGATCATACTCTCTCCAGCTGGCCTGGGGTTCTCCACACGCTATGACACTGCACAGTCCGAACTGGAAGGTGGTTGCCTCACCCAAGGTGTAATTCAGCTCGATGCCCCCATAGTTAGATATGCAAAAATCTGCACATACTACTGGATAAAGTAAGATCAGGACCAGAACACTGCAGGGATTCCCCTTTATCAACTTGAGTGCAGAGATTTCGGTTTTCTGTCTGGGCTGCCAGTTTGAACTGTACCTGTTGGTCTTGAAAAGTTATTTAAATAAATTTATGTTAATATAAAATGGTCACTTACCAATTATATGCCTGATGTGATGATTTTTTCGTCCGCCTTTGGTTTTATAAGTCTGTGTACATTTCCTGTCTTTAAGTGACCTTGTACTAGATGGCTGCTAAAGTTATCAGTTTTCAATCTTATACATCTGTAAAGTAACCCAAATTAGTTATACATTAACAAACACTATCATTCATACAGCAGATACTCACTCACACTCCCAACATCAGCCATGCAACAAATATACATGGCATTTACAATGTTATATTTCCCTATACCTTCCTAACTAAGGTTCTTGTTTGTCCTTCAACTTAAAAAAAAACACATTTCCATCACTGCCTTATTCTAAAAAGCTATCAATCCCTGTCTTTAACCATAACAGCTCCATATGGTCATCTGCAAGTATTTTTCTTCTAGATTCTTTCTAGGAATCATCCAAATACAGGTGCTTATTTTAAGGATTCTACCGTATCAGAAGCACAGCCTCGAGCACAAGAGAAAAATAAATAAATAAAAATGTTGCTCGGGGATGTATTGCTGACCAGTCTGTTTTCAACTACAGACCTAAGGAGGCTATAATAAATAGAAACCCAAGGTCATCAACTTCTTTCGACGAGTTGGCAAAAAACTCCCCACAGGCACCCAAAAACCCAGTAGAGTTTTCTTCAAACTGTCACATGGCCACACCTCTTGACTCTTTCCAGACGTCCAAGTTTTAACGTGTTTCTAGTAAACAGCGACGGGCAATTATACTCAGAACATCTTTCGGACTGAGGACGCTTCTTGTAAAGATTTTAACGTCAGC